CACAGGAAAAAGCCGACTTACATGATAAAGAAAAAGAGCTCCATGGCCTGAGCCCGTGTGCTGTACTTAGACTGTGGTGAACGGGGCTCATCGTCACCTCCAAACAGCAGCTCTCCCTGGCGTCTAGACAGCAGGTGGAGTGGTCTGGAACCTCCCCCTCCCACCAACTGGACAGAACCCACAGGGCTAAACAGCACAGCAAGGCTGTCGGGGTGCGTGTGTGTGGCCACATGTAACAGTGATGGGACCACAGCTGCAGAAAGGTTTTCACAGAGATTTATTTTAAACCATGGAGGCAACTCTGCATTGAGAGTTGTACATTGGTAATGTATACACGTATATTTTGGTTAGAGGGAAGCACAGTGGGAAAGTGAGCGGAGTAAAAAACATTCACAATATTCAGCAGCATTTGAATGGAGGCCTGGATACAGACATTTCAACATCCTAGGAAATTCTTGCTCATTACCACCTAATCCCATTCAGCAAGTCAGTGTCAGGACCGGCAGGGAGCGTGGTAAATGCCGGAGGGGTCCAGCTAGACCACACGGGAGAAATCTGTTCCAACGTCGGGCTTATTACATTCTCAGCCTGACCCCCCCGAATAATCTCCTCACTTCAGAAAAAGAAAGAAAAAGATAGCCATACGGCAACATGCCCACTGCAGCCAGGTCCAGATGTGGGCTGCAGCCCGGTGGATGTAGAGAATGGAAGATCCGTGTCCCTGGTTAGAAGTAGAGTGGTAGGCAGGCACTAATGTGGGGCCAGCACCTTCCCTGTTGTCCAGTTAGTAACAGTTTTTGTACATTTCATGTAAAGATTTCCTTTTGCAAAATGACAGTACCTTGAAAAACAAAGTCATGTAAAAAGCAAGGCAAATGGTATAAGACACAAATCCATAAGAGTACAATGGTTTCAAGTGACACTAGTGTTTTGGTCCATATGTCATACTGGCATATACTGCTGATGTAAGGCTGCCATCCACTAAAATGATAAAAGAGAGTGTATATGTGAAACATATTTTTCAAAGCATTTTTCCCTTTTGTGTGAGTGACAGCTCACCTTTTCATGCATCCCCGAGAACCAAGGGAAAAAAGAATCATAAGTATCAAGGTCAGATTCTCAATCTAACTTTTCAGCCAACCTGTAATTCCTGACACTTCCAAGAAAGTCAGATACTCTTCCTGACTGGTAAAGGTACACATTTTGAGGTATCTATTTTTAGTGAGGTGGTACCATAATTAATTTCCACACTTACCATCTTAAAAAACATTTTTCCCCTACAACCTCATGAAAAGAAACTTTACCATCTTTTCCCAAAACCAAACCTAGTAGGCTGTAGATGGAAAAAGTCCAGAAAGGAACTCACTTGATATGATGGAAGACAACAAAGGCATGTGGTGATAGACCCTCCTGTATCCAAGGGAAGCCAGCAACATGTGGGCGGCTCACTGGTGATGGGTTAGGCACGCCCAATAATAAACGAGACTCGTGGAATCGTAGAATCACCGGATTGGAAGGGACCTTAAGAATGATGATCAAATTCATCCCTCACTCAAACCTTTAATCTCCCTTTTAACATCTCTGGCAAAGGCTCTACGCTCTTAAAAAAAATTCCCTGGTATGGGACGTGCAAGGAAGATATCCCATTCCAATTTGGGACGGGTCTAATGTATAGACACTGCTTTCATGTGCTAAAGCTAAGTAGGCTTCTTGGTGGAAAGGAGATAATGTTTAAAGGCAAAAATCCAAACCACAACCCTGGAGGGCTGACATGTGATTTCCTGGTTAAGAAGCTGAGCTGAAGTTTTAACAGGAACACAGATGTTTCTGGACTCAGTTTTGGACATAGATCTTTGAGTCCTACAAGGAAAAGGCAAATGATGTGATAGCAAAGACAGGCGCTGCCATCCCCCTGCGTGGTGTTCCTGCCTCCACAGGGCCAGGTCTCCCAGACAGACCTGTAGCTGAATTGACAAAACTCTGCCTTCCCCTTGCAAGTGCCCCTGTAAGGAGGATCCCCCACATTGTACTGGAATCATCTGCGACTTGCAAGAGCAGAAAGTGGAGGGCAGCAGCTGCCTGCGTCCGCACCCAAACACTTGGCCCCGCCTATCTGTGCAATGCCACACTGGACTAGAACAATCCCCTCCTGCCACAGGTCCAGGGCTTTCCTTTTCCAGAGTGGAGCAGCTGAGCCCAGCACACCTTTGGTGTTAGTCTGTGAGTCCTTCCTGGTAGCAGGCCGTGCACTCATAGGCTCCACCTCCTCCTCCCAGACTCCAGTGAGAGGCTGTGCACCCAAAGATCCAGAATTAGTTACCCTGGGTCACTTCCAGATAACAGTTCTAGGGATTTCCAAAGAAAAAGAAACTGATACTATTATAATATAAACTAATAGTAGCATTGGCTGCAGGAGGAGCCTCTGGGGAAACCCCTCGCACTGAGCCATGTGCTGCTTTCCTCTGAGGCCAGGGAGCAACAGCATCTGATAGCAACAAGCTCGGTTCCGGGATGCAGCTGAGCTACTTGGCTGTTCTCCAGCAGCTCCAGCCCACTTGTGATCCCTGGACACACCACACTGACTCCAGCTCTCAGGCCTTTGTTTATGCTGTTTCTGAAGCCTGGAAAGTCATTTCCATTTTTCCCCCTTATGACTCACTCCTCATCCTTTAACACTGAGCTCAAAGTCCTTTCCTCTGTGAAGCCCCTCCTGCCACACCTGCTGGGTTAGTGGCACCCTGGCATGCCTCTATTATGACCACATTGCACTGAAAAGACCCATTTACTCGCTGTGTGACCTCTGCCCAGCCTGAGAATGGGCTGCAGACAGCTTGCACCGCCAGTGCCTAAAGCCTGGTGGCTGGTGAGCGCTCAACACGTTGACATGAACATTCAAATCTCAGGGATCATCTAGAGAACTCAGTGTTCAACAGGAACTTAATTTCTGTGTTTTCCAATCCAGTTAATAAATATCTGTCTTCATACCAGGAAAAATTCAGTAGTATTTTAAAGGAGAAAAAATAAGAATGTATTGGTAAAATGCTTTCTTTCACTTCGAAGTATCTTAGTGAACAAGAACACTTACCTAGAATTAAAATTCTATGAATAGCCATAACCAGAGGAATCTCATTTAGTGAATATTTGTGTCCAGAACGCTTAGAGCTCTCCTTTTGCTTAAAAACAAAAATTTGGGCCTTAAGAAGTGATTAATATCAGTCAAAAATAAATTATACTTTATTTATTCAGGGCCTTGCTCTGCTGCCCAGGCTAGACTGCAGTAGTGCAATCATAGCTCACTGCATCCTTGAATTCCTGGGCTCAAGTGATCTTCCTGCCTCAGCTGCCTGAGTAGCTGGGAATACAGGTGTGTGCCACCAGACCCAACTAAGTTTTACATTTTTGGTAGCGACAGGTCTTGCTGTGTTGCCCAGGCTGGTCTTGAACTCTTGGGCTCAGCGATCCTCCCGCCTCGTCCTCCCAAAGTGTTCAGATTACAGGTGTGAGCCATGGCACCTGGCCTATACTTTTATAAAATGAATCTCAGAAAATGAAAATGTGATAGTCCGTAAGGGCAGTGCTGTAAGCCTGGGAATCACAGCCAAATGGGGTAGGGTGAATTTTAAGTGCCGCTGGATTTCCATTTCAGTTTTGCCTCTGGGGTGGTTTGAGGGGAATGTATAGGAAGGAATTTATGTGGATGAAGGCAGTAATTACCTCCCCCACCACAGGGCTGTAGCCAAAAAAAGTGTCATATATGCTTCTGATAAGAGGAACAAAGCTGGTTCCAGACAGCGCCCTGTCTCAAGGCGCTGAAAGTCAGTCCTCCCACTCATGCCATTACTAAGTAATGTTCAAGAACAGCTACTCCTTAAACATTCTTTTCTCTTGTTTACGTCTCAGTCATATCTAACTGCCCCGTATAACCAGTGTGTTTTCTGCTTGGAACACTCTAGATCTCTGAAGATGCCTTCCAGTTTTGTGACTTCATGATTTCTGGAATAATTAGAACAATCAAATGAGAAACACGTTATGGTGGATTGACCTCATACAAAATGACATTAAGATTCCAAATGTTTCATCTCAAACCATTTTGCTATTGTGAAGACACACTCAGGCAGTAATGTCAAGTAATGTCATTCGTTTGGAGGAACTAAGAGCATGTGGTTGGTTTTGTCCCACCAGGTAGAGAACAACTCTGCATATGATATGTGTAGATCTGCCACTTTCTCAACGCAGGCAAGTTAGGCATTATTTGCAAGAGCTGCTATATGTTGAAGCAACAGAGCAAAAATATATGTAAAGTGCAAATCCAACATGGTAAAACAAGAATTATGAGAGTTCACCTAGACAGAACAAAAGCCAAGTGCTGGCACCAGCTTTCACTCCTAAGGAACGGAGCCTCCATTTCCCTAAAATGCTTGGAAGACACCCAACACCAGCACATATTTCTCTACAAATTACAAAAATGGGGGAGACACTTAATGCAAAACTCAAGAATTCACAGTATTACAAACACACAGTTGGTTTGCTAAACACATTTCATCAAATTCAAGCACCCATACAGATGAGAGAAAAGGGAAGAGCAATGGATACCTTGACATATCTGTGGTTTTCTGATCATGATTCTCAACACCAGTGAGATGTGAAGTGGCTTCAGCCTCTAGTGGCTCTGTGGGCTGGGAGGAAGACAGTAGAGTGGCATGCAAGGCCACAGGCCAGAGCGACTGTAGCGGACATAGGTGATCTGACGGGGACACTCTGCTTCCCAAATGAGGTCTGAAGGCATCTAGACCTATCTCAGAACCCACACAGCTTGCTGGGCGCCTGGGCTTTTGCTGCTGTAATGCTGTGTTCCTCTCTCTGTAGGCAGGCCAAGCTCAAAGTTTAGGAAGGGAAAATGGAGTGACTCATGTCTATTACTCACTTCCAACACACAGTCCTCTATTACATACAACTTAGTAAGTGGCTGCAGGTTCTAGTAATAAACTACAAAATAGATATTTGAGTATTTTAAATTTAATTCCCTTGTTAAAGCTCTCTCACAGAGCAATCATGCAGAAGAGTCCAAGTAGTTGTAACAGTTTTGACTGATGCAAGCAAGGGTAGTGTGGAGCAGGGCAGCGAAGCGACAAGTGCTAATAGCCTGTGCAGGGCATGCGTGTGCCTCTTCAGAGCTCTGGTCACATGGGCTGCGCTGGTCTGATGGCTCAGGTGACAGCTTCCATGTACCATGGCTGCATGGGACACATACACTGGTCCTGCTTCCCAATGCTAGGGCAGCAGAATCACCTCTAGCAAGGCCCCACCCCCGGGAAGCACACAAAGGGGCAGTGCCCGAGGATGGCTTGTAGTACTTCCCCCTAGTTAGAGAAGTAATGAATGATTGTGAGGGCAAAAAATGGCTTTCCAGGAAAAGAGGGAAAATAATAGGGAGGATTTCGATTTCACTCCCATATGTATCACCACCAAAAAAACCTGTAGAATCAGAAGAGAGCAAGACACTGTGGGGTGGGGCTTGGGTCGGGAAGGACAAGCAATTGGCCTGTGATCCTCAAGAGACTGGTGAGCTCCCTGATGCTCCCGACATGTGAGGTTGAATGAACTGTGCGTGTAAAGTGCTTAGGAGGGGTAGGCACCTGGCGCAGGCTTGCCATTAATTTTTATTCTATTTTTACAGGGGAAAATAAGATGTTTAAAAGGGACTTCAGTATCCTGAGTTGAGTCACTACACACAAGAATATTTCATTTTCTCAAGCTTGATTGGATTCCCTTAGAAATAAGAGTTCTTCAGGTTCGCTTTCTAAAGTCCTCTTTTCCATTCCCATAGAAACACAGCCTGCACTGTAGGTACCATTCTGTCTCGGATCAACCACATACCGTTTTAGTAAGAAAGTGTGCAAAGTGTTCTGATGAAACACATTAAGATAAAATGTTTAAATATCTAGTTTTTAAAGGGATAGAATACAGAGGGTGAGGAATACAGCAGGATTACAATCCTGCTGTAATGAACATGTTCAAGTTCAGAGATGATGTCACACAGAAACACACGATTTAAAGACACTTATTTTCAGAGCATGTATGGTGGGGCTCCCCAACCCCGGGCTGCAGGTGGGTACCCATCCACGGCCTGTGAAGAATGGGGGGCACCCATCAGAAGTGAGCAGCGGGCAAGCAAGCACTACTGCCTGGGCTCCGCCTCCCATCAGATCAGCGGTGGCGTTAGATTCTCATAGGAGCACGAACCCTATTGTGAACGGCGCATGCGAGGGATCTAGGTTGCGTGCTCCTTGTGAGAGGCTAGTGCCTGCTGATCTGAGGTGGAACAGTTTCATTTTGAAACCGGTCCCTGCTGCCAACAAGGTTGAGGACCGCTGATGCAGGATTTTGTGTGTGTGTGTCGTTTGTTTTCATTGTTATGAGTGAGGGAGAGCTGTGTCAAAAAAGCTAAAACATGAGGCTCGGGAGGCTTCAACTGAATTCTAAATGATCAGGCACTAATCGTTGAAGCTCTGAGTTAAAATAATCTACTTCTGTGATAACCATGGTTGGGAGCAGCTTTCTCACAGCATTTTTTTTTTTTTTCTAAATGTGGGAAAGACAGAGGCAACTGAGGCAGAAACACAGTCTTTTCTACTCAATAAGAACGTGAATGAGGCAGACATTACAAACAAATCGCTCTTCCGGCGATTCCAGCAGCTGGCTGGTGAATCTACATGATGAGTTTCCAAATCTCTCCACTGAGGAGGACATGAAAGCAGAAACACTGGGAATAAATAATGTAAATACATCCCCTTCAGGAAAGACAGAGAGGTGCGGGTAGGTGCAGAGGGAAGAGAACAAAAAGCCGCTGGCCATGTGACACATGTTGAAGTAAAGAAAATACAGAAACTATAATGACCAAAAGTGGATACTTCCCTTATTTCTCTGACGCACAAAGCAACACATAAAATGGGGTGTGAAAAGTATAAAATTAAACACCCCACACAGATTTTTCGGTATACTCAAAACAATGCAGCACAGCCAGACTGTATAAACCATTTGTTAAAAAAATAGCTTCTTTTATATTGTATGAACAAGTTGGAAGAGTCCCCTTGCAAGTTCTCACTCGCCGGGTCCCCACTGTGCGCATGGGTCATCTGCAAATTCATCCAGGGTCTTTAGTTTCTTTCTTACTTCTCACATGTCTGCTTTACCACTCTGGTAATGATTTGGATTAAAACAACCATTTCTTTAGTAAATACTATCTTTCTGATTCCTGGGAGAGTCATCAAGACACGACTGGGGTCATATCCCACAACTGCAAATAGGAAAAGATACAGAATGAACTAAAATTAAATTGTGTTGAGGATAACAGTCCTTAGAACTGAATTCTTCAAGGAAATTTTTTTCATTTAACAAACAACCACATACTATACTAACATGATTTCTAAATCTATAAATTTTTTTTCATCAAAAAAGTTCAAATAAAGCTCAAAAACATGACAATGACAGCTTGAAATTTTGATGTAGCTAATGAAGAATAATGGCAGATTCAATCTATTAATGGCTGAGAGGACTGGGAAGACAAGCTACCCTGCAGATCCTCCTGTGAGTCACTAAAAGGGAAACGCTGCAGAGCACTGTGTTGACATCTGAGGCAGCTTTCGATGAGCCAACATGAAAGAGACAATATAGATCTGTCCCACCCTCCAAATAGATTGAATCCATTAAATAACTCAGTCCATTAACAGGACGCTAAGCACATGCTGTGTCCTTTCCATTTAAACTTCCAAACCATTTTACAAGATACCTCGTTTTCAAAAATAAAGGACCTGAGGCTGCCAGAGTTTATCTTATTTTAATTAATTAATTAATTATTTTGAGACAGGGTCTTGCTCCGTCATCCAGGCTGGACTGCAGTGGCACAATCAAGGCTCACCGCAGCCTCTTACTGGACTCAAGTAATTCTTGCACCTCAGCCTCCCGAGTAGCTGGGACTACAGGCAGGCACCATCACATTTGGCTAATTTTTAAATTTTTTGTTAAGACAGGGTCTCACTATGGTGGCCAGGCTGGTCTTGAACTCCGGGGGTCAAGTGATCCTCAGTCTCACCTCCCAAAGTGCTGGGATTATAGGCGTGAGCCATCACACCCACCCAGAGTTTATTTTAAACTTCCTCTCAAAGTCATGGAGATCTGGTAGCTTCCAAAGTGGGTTATTTTAGCTATCTCATCCTGCTGTGACCTCCAAGAATGGGTCAGGGAGGTAGAGCTCAGTGCGCTATAAATTCTCATCTGTATTACTGTTTTGACTGCTACACATGTGACCTATTATAGTCTTTTTAGTCTGTCCCAAGTAGACTATCTATTCCTTGCAGGCTGGAGCTCTTATTTCTTTGTGTAGAGCCAGTGCCTGGGATGAGGCTGTGCATGTATCACGTTTGTAATAGGTTCTCAAAAACACTCACGTTCAATGGTTAACTTTTTTTTTTTTTTTTTTAAAGAGATGAGGTCTTGCTTTGTTGCGCAGGCTAGGGTGCAGTGATGTGATCAAAGCTCACTGTAGCCTTCAACTCCTGGACTCAAGCAATCCTCCCTCCCAATCTCCTGAGCACCTGGGACTACAGACACATCATGGGTGGCCACCCAACGATAACCTTTAGAGCAGTGCCTCCCATGTTCTTGGTGTTCCTGTATATTTATATGAGGCCAAAGACGGAAAGCTTCTTAATAAGATGGCGTCTTACCTTAATAACCTTGTCAGTTCCAGAAGTCAGTAACCATCCTCTGGTTGCATCGAAATGCACATGCACAATGTTATGTTTACTGTCATGGAAGGTGGCTGTGGGTGCACGTCTGGAAGGAGCAAAGAAAGCTTCTGAGAAGAAAAGGTGGTGACATATGAATGAGAGAGATCTAGGATGACATTAGGCTCTAAATTTTGGCCTCATGGGTAAAACTGCTTCACTGATAGGAATGTTCCTCAGATCTGACTTTATTCCCTAGTGACCAGTTATGATTAAAAAAAATTACAAGAATTCTTGTAGTCTTTAAAATGGGAAAGAGATGAAAATTTCTAAAAGTCCTTCTGGAAAATGTTGCTCTGATGGTGTCTGCGATAATCTCCACCCGAGCTTTTAAAAACCATAGTGCTTTTGCTAAGTTTGAGCTCAGAAGGACTTGCCAGTAAAATAGTCTATTTAATTAAAAAAAAAAAAAGGACCAAGATAGTACTAAGTGTCCCATGATATTACTAAGTGTCGTTCTAATTGGAGAACTATCCCCCTCCATTCATTTTTCCTTTTTCACTGGTATGACTGCAGACTTGGTTTTTATATAGTATTCTAAAGCTGTAACAAGCAAAACAAAATAACAAACAAACATCATTATTTTTGGATTTTTAACATACACTTTTTTTTTTTTTTAAGTCAGAAGGCTTGTCAACTGCCTAGGTGCTCTAGAGGCAATGCAAGTGCTTCCACAGAGAAGAGGCAGAAGAAACAGAGGTGGGAAAAGGTACAGGGTGCAGTCTAGGAGACAGCCCTCTTATCATGCTTCAAGGGGCCCGCTTCACTGCAGTGGGCTCTCTCAGGACAATTTTCTTCTTTTTTTTTCTACAGTTAAATCGGCAGGATAGATCTTCAGTAACTTAAAATGGTTACTTTAAATTTTTAGAAGATTTAGGCTTAACTGTAAGCCCTTTAGACTCTTAAAGTCTATGTCTTTAGCTAGAAAATGAAGAATTAAAGTAGACTATCTCTAAGGTCTCTTGTACTCTCTAATTCAATGAGAAAACCCTCTTAATTTCATCATGTATGATGAGTGGAAAATAATGAATGAACAGAAATGCATACTTATGCAAGGGCATCTTATTTTATATTTGATATGGATAAATAAGACTACTTATGATTTTACTGCAATACAAGGTGCTGGGAGGATTGGGAAGACAAGCTAACCCGCAGATCCTCCTGTAAGTCACTAAAATTAGCGAAATGCTGCAGAGCACTGTGTGTACATCTGGGGGCAGCTTTCAATGAGCCAACACTAAAGAGATAACATAGATTTGCCCCCACACCTCCACAGCACACTGAGGGGTAGTAACCTATATCCTGGGTTATTGGGCAGGTCTGACGAGCAGCCAGCTGAGCAACTGGGCAACCGGGAATATCTGCCTATTGGGTAAAGTGACTTGGCTCTTCCCGGAAAATGAAACCTTCTGGACCCATGGACTCACTCAACTCCTGTAAATATACCAGCTTGGGACAGAAAGTGAATCCTGAGCCCTTATACTCCTGGGTAATTCTCAAGTAAATGAGCAGACAGAAGGTTTGTTCTGAGAGCACCTATTTTAAAGGCACATAACCTAGAAATTAGAAAGAACACAGAGATGAATTCTTTGCGTGTATTTTCTCTTCTCCTGTCTCACAGGATAACACAAATCTCTCGTTGGCAAAGGAGAGCTTTTACTACTCGTCATGGACTATATTCTAAACCAGCAGAAACTAGAGCAACCCGAGTGATGGCTGCGGCACTGAGTGCAGGGCTCAGATTAGACTCTCGCTTTAACCTGAAGCGGTCCTCAGGCTGCAGGAACTTACTCTTCATCTGTGATGGCCTCGTGGCAGCTGTCACAGACCCTCACTTCAAACTCGAAGCCCATCAGGGGGATGGAGGAGCGCTTGGAGCTGCATTTGCCGCAGACAGCCTTCCCACACTTGCGGCAGTGGTGCTGGAGGAGGGAGAGAAAATAGATACTCATCATGGCTCCCTTAGCTCCTGAGGCCCCCGCACCTCACCCCTCCTGGCAGAGAGAGGTGTGATCAACTGCATCCAGGTGAGGATGCTGAACAAGAGTGCCTCAGAACTAAAGGGAACACACTAGATGTGTTCTTTTTTGGGGCTCTGTTTATTCAACAAGGACTGTTGGGTAACACACCTGACAGGGACACCTCCCCACTCTCTTGCTTTTCCCTACTCTTGGTCCTTTCCAATGATCATACTAGGAACTACAGAGGAACCACCCAGGGGCCAGGTGATCTTAAAGCAAGGTATCTGAGAAACTGACATCTCAGGAGATTATGCTGCTGGATGAAGGAGAACATGCAGGAAACCTGATTCAATCTGCTGACTTTGGCCATGGTATAAGCCTAGGTGACCTAACATTTTATTTCCTTGGGGAAGACCAAACTGAACCATGGACTCAGATTGAGAATGCTGTATTATAAGTAGATCTACATAACCAAACGTAATCAGAAGGAGGGAAAGTAAAATAAGGAGAGAGAAACACCATTTATATAATTTATATAATTTCATGGTCTGGTATCCATACGAACTAAACATGACACCTCTAATTGTAAGGTGTATTGCAATAGAGGCCACTAGAATTCTAACATCACATCCCTAACTGCTTACTGGGAACCAGCCACTACAGAATCTGAATCCAGCAGGAATGAGCTACGGTAGACAAACAGAGTAAATTACTGTGCAATCACAAGGTGACTCCAGGATCATAATTTACCCTCACCACAACTCCCACCCAGGGGTGTTATTTCTTCTAAGATCACATGGTTGAGCTATTTCCACACAATTACATTTTGATGAAGCATCCATATCACTCACCTGTCTTAGACCAATTTTCTTACTGTCCCACATTTGCTTGAAGTTCCAGAAGAAAGGCTGATCACACTTTTGGCAGGAATCACTGTCCAACCATTCAGGGGTCTTGTCAAATAAAGCACAGAACAGGTCAGTGTGGCCAGCAGTGAGGACAATGGAACCACTGACCCTGATGAAACTTACGGAGCAATCAGGATGTGTTTATAAGAGGTGTGATTTCTCAGTCAATCATTCAAAAAATATTTACCGAATGTCTATTCTGTGGCAGGCTCTGGGGATGGGATGTAGTGGTGAATAAGAATCTCCACCATCATGAAAATATGATGAATAATTATTTACATAAGCATAAGTGTGTGAAGGCCCAAGAGGGAGAAGCACAGAGTGCTTTGGCAGAGGGATCACAGGAGCCTCTGACCCAGGCTGAGGTTCTCAGACAAATAAGACAACTGAGACCTGGGGATGGATGGAGCGCAGATGGGGAAAACGAGGGATGAGGCTGGAGGGGGCAGGATTAATGTTTGTTTGTGAAACAATTTCTCGAATACCAACTTATCACCATTAAAATTATGTAGTAAAAACAAATAAATATTTAAAGACATGGAACATGTTCAATATATAATAAACTAACACAAAACCCCCGGGTTATTGAACAGTATCATAGCACAGAGTTAAGACAGACTAGGAGAAGATATTTATAAAGTTTGTGACTAACAACTCCTGCAAATTACTGTATACAAAGAACCCCTGGAAAATCAGTATGGAAATCACAAGAAACACTTGAGAAACGGGCAGAAGATACAAAAGATACGAGCATGCAGTTCACAGTCAGGGAAGTCTGAATGGCTAACATATATGAAGAGAGGCTCAAATTTACTGTTAAGCAGAGAATGCAAATAAAAATGAGATACTATTTTACCTCTGTCTCCAAAAGGGCAAAACCAGAAAGGGAGGGAACAATTGCTACTGGTGAGGATGTGCAGTGTCAGAAAACTCCCTGTTCTCCATTAGAAGTATAAATGAGTACAGCTGTTTGGTTGCATTTAGCAAAATCAAGAATATACCTTCAACTGATCCCACTCATGGGTTTATGGCCCTGAGAGTCTCACACAGTGCAGGTCTGTGAGGGGACACATACAAGAAGGTCATCTGGGCATTGTGTGTGGTACCAGGGAGTCTGTGCCAGTCTACATGCCCTTTGCTTGGGAAACAGAGAAGTAAAATGTGACCGGTACACATGATGGGGTCCTGTGCAGAAGCACCACAAGAAACAGCACGATGGTAGAGCTCAAAAGGGTTCAATGGCAAAAGTTGGAACTAGAACTAGACTTACAGTACATCAGTTACATAAACTTTTTTTTTTTGTTTGAAACAGTCTTGCTGTGTTGCCCAGGCTGGAATACAGTGGTGTGATCTTGGCTCACTGCAACCTTCGCCTCCCAGGTTCATGCAATTCTCGTGCCTCAGCCTCCTGAGAAGCTGAGATTACAGGCGTCTGCCACCATGCCTGGCTAATTTTTTTTGTATTGTTAGTAGAAACAGGGTTTCGCCATGTTGGCCAGGCTGGTCTCGAACTCGTGACCTCAAGTGATCCACCCGCCTCGGCCTCCCAAAAGCTGGGATTACAGGCGTCAGCCACCGCGCCCGGCTGAGTTATGTAAACTTTAAAACACACACACACACACACACACACACACACACACACCCCTTTTATAAGGAAGCATGTGTGTTCAGGACACACATTAAATGCATCACAGTGGGTATCCATGAGGAGGCATTTGGGAATTAAGGACCGATAAAGCGGAAAAAAAATAAATCAGCATGTTTGTGATTCTATTTTTTGTTAAAAAAAAAAAAAAAAAACTCACACACACGTGATATGTAGAGAAAAAAATGAGAAAAAAGATATACCAAAACATGCACAGAGTGCTATTTCTGGGTGGTGGTAGTATGAGTAACTGACATCTTTTCTATTTACTAATGAGCACTTTGTAACTTTTCTACCAAGAATATTATATACAATATATACCTTTAAAAAATGCTAAAAGTTAACAAAACAAAAATGGATTTTCTTAACTGCATAAGACACCTGTTCAACCTATGAGATGTCGATCGATCTACATCCAGCTACTCAAGGTCTTCCATTGTCTGCCCTGATCTTTCAGCTAGCCGCCATCCTCTCATCTGACTGCTGCTCTAAACTGCTCATGAGCACGAATGCACCGCATCAACCTATCGTGTTCACCTTGTCCTTACTCTTGCTGTTTCTTGGCCTACAAAGCCCAGGTGCTCCTGCTCAGAGCATATCCAGACCCTGTTGATCCTTCAGCACAATGTTCCTCCATGAATCCTTCACTGAGAACATTAGCCAATGATGACTCCATTCCTTCTAAAATACCCAGCACTGATGCTCTAGCATATATCAACTATAATTTCACGATTTATACCATGTAATAGAATTCTGAAGTTTCCTCCTACAAGCCTTTTCTTTCGGAAAGTCTGTCAGTACTTCAGGTTAGAGACGATTTCATTATATGTCGCAGACCTCCCAAGGTGAGCATCACACAGCACTTATCATAACTAGGAAGCAGCTCCATAGAGGCTAAGATTAAAACAAAAATCTCAGGAAATTTATGTTTATAAAAATACTTGCAAAAAAAATGAACAATCTCCATTGCTCATTTAGAGTGTTGACTCACTAAGATTTTAAATTAGTCAATAGTATTGGGTGCCTTTATATCTGCACATCAAGAGGCTCATAAACAAGGTTGCTCAAAGAACTGCTCATCAACCACTTGGTTCCATTTCTGGACACCACACTGTTATCCTCCTTTGGCCTCTGTCCATAAAGGGTCCAGGCTGCATGCGCCAAGGGAAAAGAATCGGGTCCTTCTCCCCTCCCCTGGTTTGGTTAGGTGGGTCCAGAAAGAAGTCAGGAAAGACCAGGTGTGACTGTCCCTAACCCAAAGCAGGCTGCCATGCAGAACCCAACCCAGGACATAATCACCAGCCATGCGGGAACATGGTTAGCATGACTGGCACTCATTGCAAACATCTCCAGCCTTCGTATTGATGGTGCCAAGTATAGTTTTCAAAAGCAATGTTCTACAATTCCCCACCTTCTAATGATCATTTTGATTAGTTACTAATAGAATTCCCATGGACTTAAGATCTGAGCAAATAAAGCTTTAATCTTCTTAAGCATATAATTACTGGCATTTGAAAAAGGCATTACATTGTGGGTAATAGCAACTACTCTCTTGAAATGAGACTGGGGTGAGGGCATGGAAAGAAGGTAGGAGACTTTTGTCTTTTTAAAGTGTTTCTTTTCTATGTAATTCTTGTATCCTACAAGAAATTAATTATAAGAATATGCACTGTCAAAGGAAAAGTCTACCCAGAATAATTCTAATGTAATGGGAAAATGGTTAACTTCAAAGTACTTGTCAAAGGAGATATGCAGGAAACATATTTGTTAAGATGCTCAAAGATTAAAGTGAAAGCTCATAAAAAAGAATGTTCTGATAACATGTAAATATGTGCTAAAAAACTAAGGATATATTTATATCTGGAGAACTATTTAGAACATGACTTACAAAGTACAAAATAATTATTTCTAGTATTTCTATTAATACCAAACTAAGGATTCTTGCTTCATCTTAGCCACTATTTTCTTCCATGACATAAATCACGTGAGTCCTCTGTTTTTGTAGGGCATTGTATACCAAAGGACTAATCACCAGGAAGTAGATGATTTCTTTTCCTAACCTGTACTTTTGCTGTGAATGGTGTAACAGATTTAAACAGCTTAGTCTCAGTCAAAATTCTTATGAAATCTCCATCACAGGAATGTTACATGCCAACTTGTGAGGGGGGGAAAAAGAAACTCAACCCAAACAACTCCTTTTATGCTATAATTCTTTGACGTGACATGCCTTATTTCATGGTTTAATCATAAAGGAATAAGAAATAAGCAGGAAGGGAGGAGGGCCAGAACCACAAGGCCCACCCCACCCTGCTGTGCCACCTACCTCCTGCCTCTCCACGTCCATGTTCCAGACGACAATCCCACCATCACCGCCACAGGAGATCAGCTGTCGCGTGTGCTGCGCATAGGAGAGGGCCTGGACTTTGTCGCTGTGAAAGAAACCAAGGGTTAGTGACAGTTTAGGAGAACAAATGCCCATATCACTCACCTGTCTTAGACCAATTTTCTTACTGTCCCACATTTGCTTGAAGTTCCAGAAGAAAGGCTGATCACACTTTTGGCAGGAATCA